TGACCACTGCAGGACATCCCTACTAGATTTGAACTGGTAATAATTGCGCTCATGACGAAGTGAAAAGATGTCGGTTTCAGATTGGATTCCACTCTATCCTGCCTACCTCAAAGGCTGTTTTGGTCAGATAAGTTGTGTTTTAATTCTATTTCGTATGAATTTTCCCACAATGAAATGAGTATAGCGGACGTTTCCAATGAATTTCACATAGCCTTGCTTCGCCAAAAGTTGTTCTCATCCATGGTGGACCACAGTGTACGTCCGGGTCGAGATGTTGAGATGCGACATGACACTAGCTACACTTCGATGCACGAAAAGGACGACTTGATGGGCAACGCAAGCCTGCCACATAATTCAGGCAATTTTGCAGGAGAATTCCTACCGAAAGGCAACCGATTGTTTTTACCATTACATCAAAGACTAAGGCGAGCTCGAGATTGTGGTCTAGGCTGGCGAAGTGAAATTCAATGCACAAATCAGTACTTTTGTTCAATTCAACGTGGACAGACCTGTCCTTGGTTCAACGAAAAAACAGTCTCCTCGACAACAGACTCCTGATGACCACAAAACACAAGCATTACTAACATTAGCACAGATTCGCCTGATACCGATGCTAGCCAGATTTGCATACGAAATGCGCCGTGACATTCTTTTATATACGAAGAAAAGTTGGGTTTCAAAGAATCTCTTGTTTCATAATTGTTGGGATTACTTCCATTTCGAGTAGAAGTGTAGGGTGAAGAGATTCGAAGGTCGGTTCCACCAGAAGACGACGGCCGATTCCTCTTGACCAGCTGTCGGTTGGCTTTACTGGAAGATTCATGCTGACGCAATCTCCTTCGATTCCGGTGAAGACGTGCTAAGCTTTCGTGCGTCATATGACGAACATTATTAGAGTAAGGTATCATCGTCACGACAAAATGCAAGCTTACGAGTCAAAAAATTGAGATTTGATGCGCGAATCTCACTGGTCCTTTGAGGAGTTTTTCTTTTGTTGCATTGCGTTTCGTCTTTATGCTTATTTTTATTGATTTCTTTATTTTTCTCGACTCGTTGGCTTGAATTTTGTTGTGACGATGA